GAGGATCGCTTGAGCCCAGGAGTCTGAGGTTGCTGTGAGTTAGGCTGACGCCATGGCACTCACTCTAGCCTGGGCAGCACAGTGAGACCTGTCTCAAAATAGAAGAAATGAAGGCGAGTTGCTCCGGTCTGAGAAGGGCCCAGCCTGTCCCGGGGCCCCAGGCGCGCCCGCCCCTGTACCTGAGACCAACACCTAATCCTAAGAGAGCGGCCGCATGTCGGCGGGGCGCCGGCGGGCTGGGCCGCACCTGCCTCGGCCGGGCGCGGGGGACCGGCCGTCCTCCACCTCTCCGCGCCTGGCCCCGGCGGGGCGGCCTCCTCTGCGGCGGCCCGACGCTGTGCCGCGGCCGCGCCCGCAGCCCGCGGCGCGCGCCGGCCGGCGACCGTTGGCTCGGCGCCGCCGCGGGGCTCGGCCGCGTGCCCGACTCGGCGCGCCGCCCGCCGCCCCGGACCCCCGGCGGCCCCGCGTCCCCGGCGCAGCTAGCGATTCTATATATATTAGTTGGCCAGTTAATTTCTTTCTATTTATAGTAGAGACGGGGTCTCGCTCTTGCTCAGGCTGGTTTCGAACTCCTGACCTCGAGTAATCCACCCGCCTTGGCCTCCCAGAGTGCTAGGATTACAGGCGTGAGCCACCGCGCCCGGCCTGTAGTTTGTAATCTTGATACTGAGATCTGTTTATTTTGTTGTGGGAGAAATGGTTTTCATGCCGTAGAGATATTATTATACTCCCAAAATAACTTGAGGACAGCAATTTGGTAGGTATGCAAGGTCTTTACTAATGTGCATTTGCAATGAGGACTTGGTGTTGTCTAGTTTGTTAGAGTGGCCCGCTTTAAAACTCTGCCATTTATTAAATAGAGCGTCCTGTGATCCACCTGTCCCCAAGGTAGATGATCCCAAATTGTATGGTATAACAGGCTGAATGATGACCAACCAGAAATATCAAGTCCTTTTCCCAGGAACCTGCCGATGTTATCTTATAAGGGAAAAGGGTCTTTGGATACATGATTAAGTCAAGTATCTTGAAATGGGGAGATTATCTTGAATTGTCTAGGTGGGCCCTAAATGCAAACGTAAAGGTTATAAGAAAGGCAGAGGGAGATTTGATATAGAGAGAAGAGCCGAGCGAAGGCAGTGTGAACAGGAGGCAGCGTTTGGAATGATGTGGCCACGAGTCAAAGAATGCCGGCAGCCGATAGAGCCGGAAGAGGCAAGGAACTGATTCTCTCCAAGAGCCTCCTGAGGGTGTGCAGCCTCCAGACACCTTGACCTGAGGCCTGTGAGACTGATTTTGGACTTCTCATGCCTCCCAAACCATGAGAGAATAAATTGCTATTGTTTTAAGCCACCAAGTTTGTGGTAATTTGTTATGGCAACTATAGGAAACTAATACTTATGGCTGTGCTCATAAATCACACAGCCTCCTCTTTTGATGAGCATTTTTAAACTTTCCAGCTGGGGCATTAGTGGGTGCAGTAGTGCAGACCACTATATATTTTCCTGAAAGGATTTGAATGGGGAATTTGGTAAGCAGATAAAAGAAATTAAATAGTGCATAGGCAAGAGGTAGCCTAGCACTTAAAACAATTTTTTAAAGCACTTAAAAGTATTCCTATTAATATAAGGCTGTATTTGCTCTGGCTAAAGAGAGTAAAGGTAAAAAGTGAGGAAGGCTTGGTCCTTAGCTGGGTCATTATTGGATATCCATCCATCTGTGTACCAAAGGAGAGTTACAGATTTCTGGGGATGAGAGCCAGGCCTGGGGAAAAGAGGGATTGCCGAAGCACTTCCATGTGATTGGGTGTTAAAATGTGGCTGAAAGCAACCTCTGTTCATCTGAATGAAGACACTTCAGAGTCTTTGGGGTGCAAGAAAAAGCAATAATGAGGTTCAACTGATTCACTTCTGGAACTCAGGCAGCTAATTTACACTTTCCACTCTCACTCCCCCAATCTCCTTTCTTTTTAAAACTGCTTTTTGAGGTATAATTTACATACCATAAAATTCACCTATTTTAAGTGTATAATCTAGTGATTTTTCAATAAATTAGAGTTGCAATCAATACCACAGTTCAGTTTGAGAACATTTCCATCACCTAAAAAAGACCTCTCCTACCCATTTGCTGTCAATCCCGATTCCCAACCCCAGCACCAATCCACTTTTGATCATTGGCCCGCTCTAGACTTAGGTTTTAGCCCCATCCTTGGACCACCCCAATGGCTTCATAACTGGCCTCAGCTCCTACTCAGTGTATTCTCTGCCCCGCCACTGAAGGGTCACGGCCCCCGATTCAAACTGCCCAGCGAGTTTCCGCTGCAGCAGGACAAGCGCCCGAATCCTTAGTATATGGTGTTTTCAAGGCCACATGAGCTCTACCCTTGCCAACCTCACCGGCATTGCCTCAGGATAATTTAGGAAAGGAAGCGACAAGCACAGTGTTCTTTTGTGCATGGTGCACAGTTAGCTGTCCGTCAGGAGGCCCCTCATCCTCCCTTGACTACCCTGCAGCCTCACTAGCCTTCCTCAGAGGTTTGTGAGCACTGAGCTCTTCTCAGGGCCTTTGCGTATGGCATTTCCTTTTAAGAACCTGCTCCAGGCCTCTGCAGGGCTGACTCCTTTTTGTCATTCAGTTCAATGTCACCTCTTTAGAAAGGCCTTCCCTAATCTACCCTAACTAGAGTAGCCTCAACTGCATCCCTGTGTATATAGCACTACCTGCGTCATTTTCTTCATTGCACTTAACTGCTCTTCCCTTGGGATCTCCACTGGGAAGAAACACTATTCATAGCACATTGTAAACTACCAAAATATCAACAGCAGCAATTAATATTAATAGTTCTTGAATGCATGCTCTGTGCCAGGCCCTGTGCTAAGTGCTTTGTATGCATGAATTATTTAATTGTAGCTTACCACTTTTCATGTGGGAAGAGTGAGGGGAGCATGTCCTCCAAATATAGTCTCCTATATTATTTTTTCAAAGGCATTGGGCAGTGTTCTTTCTCTTATTAGAATGTTGATTTTCAAGATTGGATCAGTGTACATTGCCGCTACTATTGAACCCCTTTCTCCACATCCCTAAAAACTGAGCTGGAGTGGTTTTTGCTAGGAAGGAAAGGAGGAACAAAAAGAATGGTACAAATAAAAGCAGCGTCTTAAAAGACCATGACCCACTGAGGGCACAGCAAGCAAGACTTCTGCTGGAGCACAGTGTGTGTCAGAGGAGTAGCAGGAGGTGGAGTGCGGAAGGGCGTAGGCCCAATGGCAGAGGGCTAGAGTGCTGGCCTTAGTTCAAACCTCAGTTTTTGAGCAAGATACAGCAAGATGGCTCTGGTTTTAAAGGAAACTTAATGATTTTAAGAAGCTGGAAATATCATTTCGAGGTATTTTGCAGTAGGCAAGAGTTGATGAAAGCATGAAAATACAACAGCAGTAGAATAAACTAGATTTCATATTTAAGGATTCCTTCCTTATTACTTATGACCAAACTTAAGTCTTTTTTACTGAGTTAAAAGATACTATAGAGATGGACTCAACAGAACATGGTGATTAATTGGATATGGGATTTGAATAAATGACATCTGAGAACACTCGAGCAAGTAAGTTTGGTGGGAAGGTAAAGAGACCAGATTTGGGATAAGGCGAATTTAATACAACTGTAAACATATATGCAGAAATGTTCAAGGAAAATAAATTCATTAAAATTTATAGCCAAAAAATTGTAACCGTATAGGATGAAACTTGCTGGAAGCAGTGGAATTATTCCCATCTGGCCTTGTGGATTGAAATCACCTGTGAAAAGTCATATTTTTAGTTAGCTTTTTGCTGACTGTTTTCCACGGGAAATCATAGAATGTCCAACTTGGAGAAGATTTGAGAGATCTTTTAGTTCAACACTCTACTCAAGGAAGGCTATCAGTAGCCATTGGCATCCCAAAAAGTGCTCATCTACCCTAGCTTGAACACTTCACAAGGAAGCCCACCGTGTGCTCTAGTTTTTAGAAAGTCTATCTCCACCTTGAACTAGAATCTGCTTCTTCTGTTCATTAGCCCTAATTCACAGAGAGTATATTCATTCATTAAATCATGAATTAATATGTGGTAACTCCTTACTTAGATGCATCGAGATCCAAAAACCCTGGCTATTTATCATTTCAGTTTAAAATCGGTAGACCTATTTTGATTCCCCAGACAGAAGTTTCTCTATCCAGTGACTTCTCTAACTAAGCACAAGAACTTTTGTCTGGTTAGAAGCGTTCTTCAGGCAGTGAACATCAGTTTAAATTGTCAGAAGGTATTTAGCTGGTCTGTTGAAGTCAGTTTGGACTGTACCTGGAGAAAGGTCAGGTCTGAGAATATAGAGATGGGGTCATATGTGCCTATAGGTTTACTTGATACATTATCTTGATAATGGCAGTAAGATCTGTGCCAATAAGATTAGAATTGGGCCACAAGGGAGCATATAATTGAACACATATTCTTGTAAGAACATAGCCTGGATAAGTGCTATAGACTATTAATCAAAATGCTTTCATATGAAAGGAAAAATAATAGTTCTTGTTGCTGTTGTTATATTTGTGTTTTGGGTGTTTTCAAGATCTTAAGTGATGAAAATGAACTTGCAAATTGAACTTTTTGAAAATAATAAATTTTAGTTAATGAAATGTATATTAATAAGCAAATTTTAAATTTTTTTAGGTATTAATAGAATAAGTGAAAATAAGAATAGTCAGAAATTAAGGTATGTTTTACTTCTAGTTATATTAAAGAATTGTGAACATATAGAACTGATAAACTAATCTATTATATCTATCTCTAGTTTATTTTAGAAAACCTGAGCCTTGAACTTGATGAATATCTAGGATGGAATATCTAAAATATAAAAGCTACAAGGGCTTTATCTCTGTGGTTTTCAGACTATTTTCAATGGAGCCCTCGGTGTTCCATAGAGGTATCTCTGGGGCAGAGAAGAGGATATTTAGCTGGGGCTCAGAAGATTTAAAGAAAAGTTTCTACTGCTTAAAAATGGACTGAAAAGCACAACTGTAATTTTATTTAGCAAAGGTGGAAACTGAGACTCAGAGACATGAAAAGGTTTACCCATGTTCTCATAGTTAATGGATGACAGAATCAAGTTTCCTGATTCTGAGTTCAGTGCTTGTGTGTTGCACCCCTAGTGGATGGGCAGTGAAGCGTGACACAGCTTGACTCTGTGTGACACTGCAGTAGGCCCTGTGTTTAGTAACTGCAGACCAAACCCACTTTCTTTTCTGTTAGTGGACTTACATGAAAGTTACATCTTCTTTCTAGATAAATAAAAAGATACAGCCATTTATGGGAAAGTAAGTTAGTATATATTGCCTAAATTATAATGGCAGTGTTATTATTCATGTTATTACTATCCTACAATGTGATGTACATATATATTGAGGCAGGTCTATACAGGAAGGCCTGCACATGAGCTATGTTGGTTAACCCTTATTCTTTTGGGATATATACTCTTTATCTTATAATCTTACAGAGGTTAAATATTGTTCTCAAGGTGATATAGCTAGTAGATCACAGAATTAGGATTTGAACCCTAGCCCTCAATGACCACATCTAGAGAGAAAGACTGTGATTGAGAAAGTGGACAGTGATAGTGATGTGAACGTAATAAGCAGTTAACAGTGGCTCGGCAGTTCAGTGCTGTCCAACATGAACTGTTCTCCTTATTATGTTTCTGAGACTGTGCCAGCCCAGATATGTTTATTTGGATCAGTCCTGGGGTACTTCAGAACTTCCCAAGGAAAACATACCTGAAGACTGGTTCTAGGGGAGTATGGGTCAATTCTGTAAGGTTTCTGTGGAAGGCAGGGTGGTGCATCATGCTAGGGGCTTGAGTCATTAGTTGATGAATCCAAGAATCTAAATAGAACATACATTGTAAGTAATCTGTACCCAATCAAAATAGGGCTTGGATTCTAAATCAGCTTGCTATGGATACAGTTATCCATTCTGTCATCGTCATGGGAAAGGTCCACCTGAAGCAGCAGCCATAAGAAGTCAAGGTGACTATTCACACTAGGGAAAGTATGAGCTGTACATCCACCATAGCCTTTTGGAATCCAAGGAGAAGGGATAAGAACCCAGGAGATATTTTTAAGCCCTTTAGCCCTGTATAACAAAAACCAGAGCCTATAAATTTCTATACAAAAGTTCCCTCTAGGCTGGGCGTGGTGACTCACGCCTGTAATCCTAGCACTCTGGGAGACTGAGGCGGACAGATTGCTCAAGGTCAGGAGTTCGAAACCAGCCTGAGCAAGAGCGAGACCCTGTCTCTACTATAAATAGAAAGAAATTAATTGGCCAACTAAAAATATATAGAGAAGGCTGGGTGCAGTGGCTCACGCCTGTAATCCTAGCACTCTGGGAGGCCAAGGCGGGCGGATTACTCGAGGTCAGGAGTTCGAAACCAGCCTATGCAAGTGAGACCCCGTCTCTACTATAAATAGAAAGAAATTAATTGGCCAACTAATATATATAGAAAAAAATTAGCCGGATTGCTTGAGCCCAGGAGTTTGAGGTTGCTGTGAGCTAGGCTGATGCCATGGCACTTACTCTAGCTTGAGTAACAAAGCGAGACTCTGTCTCAAAAAAAAAAAAAAAAAAAAATAGAGAAAATTAGCCGGGCATGGTGGCACATGCCTGTAGTCCCAGCTACTCAGGAGGCTGAGGCGGGAAGATCGCTTGAGCCCAGGAGTTTGAGGTTGCTGTGAGCTAGGCTGACGCCACGGCACTCTATCCTTGGCAACAAAGCAAGACTCTGTCTCAAAAAAACAAAGGGCCCTCTATGTGGTCTGTGGTTTCTGAGATCCTTTCTACAACATTCTAATCAAATAACTAGAGTAGAATATTTACATGTTAATAGCTATTACTTGCCAGAAATTTAAGCCTCCTTTTCAATGTGAACCTGTTCATAATTTTAAATTGGGCAGAATTGTTCATAATAGACCTTGGGCATCCCAGAAGAGGCCAAGATCTCACCTCTGTATTTTACTTAGAGATTTAAAACAAACACATGTTAGTTCATGTTATGATCATGACCAAATCAACCAAGTGCAAAGTTTTAACAATTTTATAATTTATTTTTTGCCAGAAATCCTTAATAACTTCACAAGCTTTATGCCAGAAAATAAGAATAATATTTCAATTCTTATAGTGTCATGAAAGTAGAGAAACATTGAATACTTGACCAAATTGAGGATATGGTCAATTTAAAATAATGTAAATCTGAATTACAAATATTTCTAAAACGCAGACTTCACTATTCTAAGGTACATAAAATAACTAAGCAGCATTGGCAAAGAGAGGTACTAAGCATCTTCTTTACAAATAAATGGTTATCTTAAAACTCTTGTTTAAGTAAACAAACCGGTGCTGTCTTCTTTAAACTGTTTTACTAACAAAGAAATTTCCTCGGAAGGACTGCCACTTTCCAATGCTCTGTTATGTTCCGTGATACTGAATTAATGAATTTACTGTATTCGTCATCTTTTGTCAAAGTAAACAGGCATGCTTTCCGCTTACCTTGCTCTTATGTTCTGTTTCCTGCTTTATACTATTTTGGGTATTGGACTAGTATATGATTTCCCAATGCTGGGCTGTGGTTCTACCTGTCCTGCTCGTTTCTTTATGTTTTTCATCTATCTGTAACTTCTAATAACATTACTCAGTAATTTAAATTTTCTTAGTGTCATTTATCATCCTGAAGAATCCCAAAATGCATCATTTTCGTGTGTAAGTAAAATTATACAATAATCATGATGAAATTTGTTTAAATGAGAAGAGCCCCCCCCTTCTATGTAGAACATTCGAATTGCCTAGCAATCTTGACTAACATTCCATTTGTTATAATTCTTTATGGAATGTCTCCCTATTTTCTACTTATTTTCTAAGAAGTGATAGCACGAAACATAGTAAGGTAGAATTTATCTTTAATTGTAGTTTTGACAGATGGCACTGCAATAATCAAAAGAAAGAAAATGTGAGTGAAATAAGGAATTCTGCTCAATCAAAAAGCTCTGTTTAGTTCATAGGTTTTAAAAAAATGTTTAACACTGTATGCTTACAATCATGAATTAATGTAAAAACGATAAGCAGTATGTTATATGCGATCTTCCTCTTTTCATCACTTCAATGGTTTTCACCCATATCTATTTCATTTTTTTAAAAGAACCATTATTTCAATTTACTAATTTGACTTCTTGTTTTTGTTTTCTACCTCAGTTTCTACTTTTATCTTTATTATTTTCTACATGTACTTTCTTTTACCTTTTTAATGTTTTTTTTTTACCTTTTTTATTTAAAAATATTTTTTTATATATTGTGTTCACATATATTTATGGGGTATGTGTGAAATTTTGTTACATGTGTAGAATACGTGGTGATCAGGTCTGAGTGTTTAGTGTATCCATCACCTGAGCATTTATCATTTCTATGCGTTGTGTGCATTTCAAATCTTCTCTTCTATAATAGCTATTTTGAAAAACAATACATTGTTAACTATACTCATGCTACTCTGCTATTAAACATTAGAACTTATTCCTTCTAACTGTATGTTTGTACCCAGTAACCAACCTCTTTTCATGCTCCCCAACACACCCTTCCCACTCTCTGGTATCTGTCGTTCTACTCTCTGCCTCCTTGTGATCTACTGTTTTAGCTCTCACATGTGAGTGAGAACATGCAATATTTGTCTTTCTGTTCCTGCCTTATTCCACCTACTGTAATGACCTCCAGCTGTCCACGTTGCTACAAATGACATGATTTCATTATTTTTATGGCTGAATAGTATTCTATTATATATATGTACCACATTTTCTTGCTCCATTCATCCTCTGATGGGCACTTAGGTTGACTCTATATCCTTGCTATTGTGGACAGTGCTGTGATAAATATGGGAGTGCATGTATCCCTTTGATACACTGGCTTCTTTTCCTTTGGATAAGTGCCCAGTAATGGGATTTCTGGATCGTATGGTGGTTCTATTTTCGCCTTTGAGATATCTCCATACTGTTTTCCATAGTGGCCATACTAATTTGCATTCCCACCAATAGTGTACAAGAGTTCCTTTTCCATTCTTTTGTATTAGAGATTTAACTCATTTATTTTCATTCTTTTATTTTTATTGATATAGGTGTTTAGGGCTAGGAATTTTCTTCTTTTCACTACTTTTAATATGTCTCAGATTCTGATATGTAGTGTTTTCATTATTAGCTTTCAGAAATTCTTTGATTTGTGTTTATATTTCCCTTATCATACAAAAGTTGTTGAGAAGAAGTTATTATTTCCCTTATCATACAAGAGTTGTTAAGAAGACCTTTTAATTTCTGGGTGGAAAGGCCTTTTTAGTTTTGGGATTTCATCTTTGAATTCTAGTTATTACACTGTGATAACACAGAGAATCCAGAGGACGTTGCTTGTAACACTTCTCCTTTATGGAACTTACTGATCTTTTATTTATGTCCTAGAACATGATTGATTTTTGTGAATGTTCCATATACTCTTAAGAGGAAAATAAATTCTCTATTATTAAAGGGTAGTAGTCAACATATAGCCAAAGGTCTACCTTAGTGATTATTTCATCTAAATCTTTTATATTCTTACTTATTTTTTGTCTACTTGGCCTGTCTCATACTAAGTGTCTTGTTAAAGTCTGTCGTTACTGCTGTGTTTCTTATTATTATTGCATCTTCTATACTTTATATTTCATCTAAGTGATTGCTATGGCATATGTTATTATATCTTTATTGTGGAATGTGACTTTTAACTTACAGTGTCCTTTGTCTTATTTAATGCTCTTAGGCTCGAAGAATACTTGCTATGATATCAGGATTTTAACCCACACTTTCTTATTGTTTTTGTGTATCTCTTTATTTTTAGCCTTTTTGAATCTTTGTGTTTTAAGCGTGCTTCTTGTACACAAGATAGAGATTTTTTTTTTATGAGCCCATTTGAAAATCCTTTTCTTTCATTCTTTTTTTTTTTTTTTAAAGAGGGTGCTGTTGTGAGGAGGGTTGTTTGGTTTCCTTGTTTTTTTGTTGTTATTGTTGAGACAGTCTCACTCTATGGTCCTGGGTAGAGTGTAGGTAGTGGTGTCATCATTGCTCACTGGAACCTTCAACTCCTGAGCTCAAACGCTCCTTCTGCCTCAGCCCCACAAGCAGCTGGGACCATAGGCATGTGCCACAACGCCCAGCTTTTTTTTTTTTTTTTTTTTTTTTTTTTGTATTTTTAGTGGACACGGGGTCTCACTCTTACTCAGGTTAGTCTTGAACTCCTGAGCTCAAGTGAGCTCCCACTCGCCTTGCCCTCCCAGAGTGCTAGGATTACAGGCGTGAGCCACTGCCAATCCTTTTCTTTCAGTAGGCAAGTTAAGTCCCATCACGTTTATCAACAACTGTTATGTCTGGTCTAAACTCTGTCATCTTATTTTCACATTGTATTATTTTGGGATGTAATTACTGTATGCATTATGTCATATTTGCTGTTTATTTGGTGGGTTTTTTTTTTTTTTACTTTTAAAACTTCTTTTGTCATTTAAGAAGATTTGTATTTTTACTCTAGTGGTTACTTTTATATGAATACTTTTTCTAATGCACCTATAAACCCTTGTTTTCTTATTTAACCTTTTACTTCTTGTCAGTTTTAAATAGTATCCTTTGACCACTACCTATTACATTTACAACGGCCATTTTTCAAATGAAGCAAGAGATTATGTTTAGCTATTTTATGTAAATGTTCAGGAATATTCTTGTAAATAATTGTTACAAGCTCCATTACTAAAACTGATTTTTCAAAGTTCTATGGAATAATGCAAGAATTTGCTGTTCTCAGATATTTCTGTCAGAAATGTATTGCAGAATTTTAGCTTCAGCATTATGGATTGCTGGGCCATGATATAGATATATAATATCAATTCTCATTTTCAGTAATTTTTTAGGAAGTTCATATAATCATAGAGGTCTTCGGATACAGTTATTCCTTTCCCCAGGATGCAATCTCCAGAGAAGAGAGCAATTTCCTCTTCTAGGAGGAGAGCTATGTGATCATTACTGTGGCCAGGTGTATACACAGCTCCTAGAGTGGCTCCCTCAGTTTTAATTACATCATTATCTTTCAGATAAACATATTATTATTGCTCTCCATTTCCTAGAATTTCTTCTCCATGAGGATTCCATGGGAGTTTTTTAATACAATAGGTAGAGTCTGGGGCTGGTCCCCACTACGTAGGTATTGGTGCCCTGCAGGGACGTGCCCAACATGTGACTGCACAGCCCTGGGTGCCTGCAGCATGGCAGCCATTTCAGCCACACTGGTGCGTGGCATGCCCAGCTTCCACGGCACAGAGCAACAGTGTGACATTAGCAGAGACTTGAGAAGAACTGCCCCAAACCAGAGCATTAATTACCATAATAATTAAAATATTCATTTTTGATTTTCAAGTTGTCTTGAATAACTCATTTGGTCATGAAAATCAATAATTTTCTCACAATTCTATTCACTTATTAATTTTATGTAATAATAAGGTATTTCTGTATAAATAATTTTTCTAGAGAAAAAATATTACTAAATTCCAAATATTAACAAAGTCAGTTCCTGTTCTTCTGTGAACTTTTTTCACATACTACCTTATTAATAAAGATTGAATCCTTGTCTTTGGCAGACAAGAACCCAAAGAAACAAACAGGGAAGCATTTATAGTTCAAGATCTCTAAGAAGAGGTAGCAATATTTAATATGGAATCAAAACCTTGTGAATCAAATACTGAAGATCTTTTATCAAGTAGTGGCATCACATCCAATGGAGGTATGTGCCCTTTATAAAACAAAAATGAGAAAAAAATCAGAATTTAGCAATCTTCATTATATTCATTGAAGCTGCTGTTTTTAAGTATGTTTTACTTTTAACTGTGTAGGGTACAGACCATGGTCATGTATGTCTACCATATTGTTTATAATTCTACTTTTTGAGGAAGAAAATGCTTAGTTTTTTTAAACTAGCATATCTGTTTTTTAGCAGATGTTTATATCACCTTTTTGTTTGAAAAAGTTTCTGTAGTGAGGCACTTCAGCCTTAGCACACTCCATCATGTTTCCCTAATGCCTTCCCTTCCTACTGTGTTTCTTGGTCTGCCGTAAGTCAGAATTCTGTATCATTTTTAGTTCTTTTCCTCACCTATTTCCACAGCCAGTTGGGTACCAAACCCTGCTCTTTCTACCCTCAGAAATGTCTCTCTTTTTTTTAATTTCAGCATATTAATGGGGTACAAATGTTAAGGTTACGTATATTACCCATGCCCCCCCCCTTGAGTCAGAGCTTCAAGCGTGACCATCTCCCAAATGTTGCACATCTCACTCATTATGTTTGTATATACCCATCCCCAGAAATGTCTCTTGAATCCACTTTTCCGTCTCTGTTCCCATTACTTCTGTTCTGGTTCAGGACCCTATCATCTCTGATCCAAATGATTTCAGTCAAAAGGTAGTAGCCAGGAAGACAGACACAGCTGGAATAAACAGGTGGAATTTAATACAGGGAATTGGTTGAAAGAGTCTCTAAGCCTAAGGGTTGAAACAACCCAGAGATTAGCAGCTGTAGGAAGATACTACCTCCCTTTGGGCTGGAAGGACAATTAGAAGAGGAGCTCCACCAGGCAGCCCGCTCTGCAGTCCTGGGTTCTATGTCCTTATAACAGGACATAGAACCCTGTCTTGGTTCTCTCATCTAGCTCATTCTTTTTTTTTTTCTTTCTTTACTAGTCTGTCTTAGATGCCAGATCCATGTAAGTTTTTCTCCATACCCATACTTCTACCATACCCATCTCCCTTGCCCACCTCCACTCATTCACCTCCCACATAATTATACCCACTACACTCATCATGGGCACTTAGTTCATGGTCTCTTCCTTCTTGAGCACATCATGCTGTAATATGGTCCTCATGGAACACCCATCTGAGATCTAAGACTCACAGCTTCTTGACTTCTTTAATTCTTACCATCTTGAATTACTCTAGCCACCCACTCCTTTATCTTAGATCTTACTACCAAAAACTGTTAGACTTCTGGCTGGGCCTGGTGGCTCACGCCTATGATCCTAGTACTTCAGGAGGAGGCTGAGATGGGAAGATCGCTTAAGGCCAGGAGTTTGAGACCAGCCTGAGCGAGAACAAGACCCTGTCTCTACAAAAAAAAAAAAAAAAAAAAAAAAAAAAAAAGGTAGAAAAATTAGCTAGTATGATGGTATACACCTGTAGTCCCAGCTACTTGGAAGGCTGAGGCAGGAGGATTGCTTGAGTCCAAGAGTTTGAAGTTACAGTGAGCTATGATGATGCCACTGCACTCCAGCCCAGGCAACAGAGTGAGACTTTGTCTCAAAAACAAACAAACAAGAAAACCAAAAAAAAAGCCTGTTGGACTTTTAAAATCCAACCTCCTATCTCGCAACCTTCTCACTCTCTTATGCCTAGACAGTGCCTATTTTTCTGCCTCATGAAGGTAGTGGTTCTAAATTATGGCCCCATGTCAAAATTACTTTTTGATATTTTAAACATTTAAATGACTTAGATGCACACCTGGAGATTCTGATTCAGTAGGTCTGGAGTGGGGCTCAGGCACCACTGGCTCCAGCTCTGCAAGGGATCCTGATTTACAACAAAGGTTGAGAACAATGGCTCTAGATTCTGCCATTTCCCCCCAAATTACTAACTTCTTCCTATCTGCACTTTGTTTTTTATTATTTATTATTTCAGCCAATCACTTGCTAATATCCTCAACTTCCTTTTCCCTTTATTCTTCTGTTGCATTTGGAAAACCCAGATCCTCATCAGGATTTATACTGGGCTGCTACAAGATTTTGCTGGAGAAAATATACAAATGTGGATTTTCCACCAATTTGCCACCTCAAGGTCATAGTCTCCTATCTCACCTGGATGCTGCTGAGAAATCTTTCTCATGATTTAGCCCGTTTTTTGTTTGTTTGTTTGTTTTCAATGTTCCATAATGCTTATTTCAAAATTATACCATTCTCAAGTCCCTTCCCCTACCACCTTCTTTCTCACTCTTGGAGAACATCCTTTCCTAATCTTTCCAGAAAGTAGAACCTCTTGTGCTGGTCCTGCCCCTCAGGCCCACTGTTTCTTGCATACTTTGCCACTTTCTCTCGTGGCTCCGCAGTAGAGGTCCCTTCTTCCTTCACTACCCTGCTTTATTCCCACCCTACCTCTCCCTCCTCTGAGACCCGGCTCCAGAAATGGTCCCCACTCACTCGTTTCTTTGTGTCCATTCACACTCCTCCATCAGTAAAAACATGCCAAGTCTCTCCCAACCTAAAACCACTAGCAAATACGTATAACACACAAACCAAACAACAATAAAAACCCTTTTTCTCAACCTATGCCTTCATTGTCTCTCCTTTCCTTCATAGCTGTGCCTTCTGAAAAAAAGTCTGATTTCACTGGCTTCATTTTTTCCCTGTCCATTCACTCTATAAGCAACTGCCTAGTGGCTTTTAAGCCCAGTATTCCGATTAAACCACTCTGGCCAATGTGACCAGATTTTCCCTCTTTGCTAAATTCTGTGACCCCCAGCCCCCCGGCTTTTTATTTTGAAAATTGTTCAAAGTTATAGAAAAACTGAAAGAATAGTACAGTGAACACCTATATACTCTTCAACTGGATTCACCAACTGTCAATATTTTATCATATTTGCTTTATCTCTCTATACCTACAATATATACTTCTTTTTGCTGAACCATTTGAGAATGGGTTGAAAGCATCATGATTCAAAACCTGAATGTGCATCTCCTAGGAATAGGATGATTTTGTATATAACCACATCATATCTAAGGCATTCATTATCGATGCAGTATCATCTAATATGTTCACATTTAAATTTCTCCAGTTGTCTTCCAAAAAAGTCTCAGGTATATGTTTTTTAATCTGGGATCCAGTCAAATATATTAAATTGTATTTGGTTGTTTGGTCTCTTTATTGTCTTTAAATCTATAACCATTCTCTCTCTCTCTCTCTCTCTCTCTCACTCTTTCTCATGGCATTGGCTTTAAGAGTTCAGAATAGTTGTATAATATCCCTCATACTAGTTTTTTTCACTATTTCTCATGTTTAGATTCATATTAAACTCATTGGACAGGAGTTTTACATAAATGATATACACTTTTTACAGTGTACATAAGGGAACACATACTACCGCATCCCACTAATTTAAAGTTACATTTTCCCATTTATAATTAGTGAGTAGTCTGTAGGATGTCCTTTGAAACCTTGTGGATAACCTGGTACAAAATAGTCTTTCAGTCAGTGGTTTCCTCATCAACCGAAGATCCTTGCCTGAATCAGTTACTACACTGAAGATTTTCTAGTTTTATCATAGTTCTTATCTGGCATTCTTCAGGAAAGAAAAGCTTTCCTTGTTATCATTATAGATCCACCAATTCTTTATGGTTCAAAATGTGATAGATAATGCATTGCTAACTCCATTGTTTTTGATGCTCAGTTGTATCAAATTTGGCTGGCTCCTTTTAGCTGGCTCCTGTGTCTTTTTTTAATACATGACTCTAGTTTGTTGCTTTCTGGACACAAAATATTCTAGGCACAGCTTGTATTTTGCCTGTTCCCTCAGACCTGGAATCAGCCACTTGGCTGAGAAGCCCTGCTCCTTTTCAAAGGGGATCATACTTGGAAACTGAAGTCTGGTATGCGTATTGCTACTGAGGCGCCATGTGTCTAGGACATTTCAGTGGCTAAAGCTTGGTAATAGATTTTTTTAATCATAAGTTATAAGCACTGATAATTCAAATGCAACCATAGAGATCTTCCTTATCTGCCCCCATTCCATTTTTGTGTCTCCCCTACAGTGAAAACCTTAATTTCCAAAACTTCAAAGTATTTATTTATTTTTTATTTTCGATAATACATGTGAAATTGTTTCAGAAGTATTATAATGCTACCACCATTAAAAACTTACCTACTAAGTAAAGTTACTAAGACTGGCTATATAGTTAGGGTACTTTGTTCTAAAATTATTTGAAGGAATTTTTCTGTGAGGTTATGTTATCAATTTACTTATTCACTTAAGTTTACTTGTTTCTATTAGTCTTTAATTTAATTTAATTTTTTGAATATATATATAACATTTATGTGGTTCAAAAGTAAAAGTTTTATAAAAAGGAATACTGAAGAGAGTCTTGCTCCCATCCCTGTCCTTTCTACCCTTTTCCCACCAATCCCCATGTCCTTGTAGAGAACAATTTTTGTGAGTTTATGTTTTATTCTTCCAGTGTTTATTTTTGCAAAAGTAAGCAAATGTTACACATACACACACACAAATGCAAACAAATGGACATATACTCTTATGTTCCCTTTCTTATACTGAGGAGGAAAATTAACTTCCACCTCTTCAAGGAAAGAATATCAAAGAATATTTGGACATATTTTAAAACCATAGTTTGCCCTCTGATCATAATTTTTTTTTTTTTGAGACAGAGTCTTGCTTTGTTTCCCAGGCTAGAGTGAGTGCTGTGGCATCAGCCTAACTCACAGCAACCTCAAACTCCTGGGCTCAAGTGATCCTCCTGCCTTGGCCTCCTAGCTGGGACTACAGGCATGCGCCACCATGCCTGGCTGATTTTTTCTATATATATTAGTTGGCCAATTAATTTCTTTCTGTTTATAGTAGAGACAGGGTCTCGCTCTTGTTCAGGCTAGTTTCGAACTCCTGACTTCGAGCAATCCGCCGGCCTTGGCTTCCCAGAGTGCTAGGATTACAGGCATGAGCCACCGTGCCTGGCCTTGATAAATTATTTACATTTCTCTCACATGTAAAATACATTCACTCCCTCCCAAGAAGGCTCCTAACAGTCTCATCCTGTTACAGAATCAGCTAACAGCCAAAAATGCTTTATCTAAATGAGGTTTGAGTATGGATGAGGCTCCTCAGCTGTGATTCTTAGGCATAGCTCCTTGAGTGGAGTTCTTCTTAATCTGAAGACCTGCGACACCCAGCATATAATGATAGGGCAGGAATAGGATAGCCACTATCGACATTCCTAGTCAAAAAGGAGGAAGCAGGAATCCATGGGTCTGTCATAATTCTGAAATCTAGCTGGGCACAGATTGACCATTCCTCAGTTGGGGCTCAAAGCTTGGGACTAATTCTCCATGGTGAAGCTAGGTTTGTATTTTGTTTGTATACTGTTATAGGGTTGTGTTTGAAAAGGCTTCCCTGGCTCCCGTGTGGAGGATGGATTGGACAAGGGTAAGATTGAAGGTAGAGAATCCAAGTAGAAAGCTACTGTACTCGGGACTCTCGAGTTTGACTTTGAGTCATTCTTGCTTTTGGATGAAAGGTGGTAGCATGTTTCTAGCTTAGTGGTTTTCTCAGCCTGCTTGTGGAAATTTGGTTTTCTTTCTTTCTTTCTTTCTTTCTTTCTTTCTTTCTTCTGTTCTTGTTTGTCTTGCTTGGTCTACCTTGCTCCGTCCGCTCCGTTCTCCGGTCGCTTCCTGTCGTTCCTTCCGGTTGCCTTCCTGTCCTGTCGTGCCTCGTTCCTTCTTCTTCGCTGTCTTCCCTGTGCTTTCTTGCGCGTTTCTGCCGGTCTTGCCCTTTGGTTTCTTTCGTGTCGTTTGTTGTCTTTCGTTTGCTGTCTCGTTGGTCGTTTCGTTGTCGTTGTCTGTTCTGTTCTTTCTTCTGTTCTTGGGGCGGGGTGTGGTTTTGGTGGTGTGATCCTCAACTATCTCTGTCCCTCAATCTAAGCCAGCAGTATTTCTTAAATATAATTCTTAAAAATCTTTGTGGATCTCCTATGAATCTTACTGAGTTTTACTTCTTTTGTCTTCCTTTTAAAATATTGGTATTTCCTCAGAGGATTCTTCGTGATCCTCTTCTCTTTTCACTCTGTACTCTGTCCCCGATGAAGCAATTGACTCCAAGGATTCATTAGAACTCACATGCTGATGATTCAAAGGCCTTATCTTTGAAACAAAATACACTCCTGAACTTTAAGTCCATGTACAGTTTCAAACCTTATTACATGGATGTTTCTGAAGTAAAACCCAACCCAAGAGCCACTCTTTGTTTTAAGAGGCGAGGTCTTTTCACCAGGCTGGAGTGCAGTGGTACCATCACAGTTCAAACTCCTGGCCTCAAGCAATCCTCCCACCTCAGCCTCCCAAAGTGCTGGGATTATGGCATGAGCCACTGTGCCTGGTCTCCAAGAGTCAATCTTGGTGTGTCCCTCTGTCTTAATTGCCACATACATTTCTCAAGTCCATGTCCTTATTTCTATCTCTGCTGCCTCTTGCTTTAGGGAAGGCAGTTTCTTGCCATTTCTCATCAGCATTGTTGAAAGCTTTCTCCTACTTGCATTCTCTAACTTCAGTCTTACCCTCGTCTGATCCATCCTCCATACTGAAGCCAGGGAAGCCTTTTCAAAATACAAACCTGTTATGTTGCTTCTCTACTTTCAAGTCCTTTAATGATTCCCCAGGGCTTTCTAGATGAAATCCAAACTCCTTGACTACAAGGCCCTTCCTGATTTGTCCTACATTTTCATTCTTATATCTGGCCCCTACTTTCCTCCCACCCAGAATATCCGTGCTGTCTCAGACCTCCTTCCCACCTATAATCATGGTGCTCCCACTGCCTGGAATGTCTTTCCTTCTCTCGTGTCCTCCAGACTGGTTAATTCTTCATAGGTACTTGAAGCCTCATTTAGCTTCAGGTATCCTTTGATGTCCCTTCTGCCCTCAGTCTGTTCCTCCTTTGTACTTTGTGTTTCTCTCAGAGTTCTTACTACCCTTTCACTTGTTTGTTTTCCCCATGAGACCTCAACTTCTTCAAGGTTCAATAAGGAAATCACCTAGCATAATGTTTGCCACAAAATTATTTTATGAAAAAGTTAACTAATGAATTCTTTAATATTTAGGTTCTTCAAGTCCATTTTTTGTGTCACCTGTTCGTGGCACAATAATTGAAAACACATCTTCAGCTGGGACTTTGACACAAATTCCTTTATTCCCTAAATATGAAGTGGAACTTGATTGTCATAGAAAAATCATCCCTTACCCTGGAAAGGAGCACATTGAACGTGTTTTGGAAGAATATTCACATCAAGTCAAAGATTTGCAGAGAAGACTGAGTGAAGTGAGTTGCATCTTCTCTTGTAGTCCCCGATGCCATTTTGGGGACAACAGAGGGGGCACATTGCCTTGTGAATAGAACCTAAACGTCCTGGAAGAAAAAGTTAACAGTAGATTTATTGGTTAAACATGTTTATTTGACCTGTGTCTTTTATTCCAGTATTAAAAATTGGGCTAATGAAAAATCCACATATCTATTTTCCTTTTGTTAATAATTATTCATAATGCCTTGGTTTCATGATACATAATCAAACTTCAATAGCTCCAAATTATAATTAATGACATTTATCTGCAGTTATCATTAATAATTGGTGTAGGCCTGCTGTCCTGCTATCATGATACCTGATTTCTGTTTACAAAGCAGTGGTAGAGGGTAGGTTTTTAGATGTATGTGTATACATGATAGCTAGGTAGCCTAGAGAAGTTATTTGCTGAAAATTTTTAGTGGATCTTATGTAGCATCAAGCTGGCCTTGTTAATTGTATATTGAGTCCTGGTAGTCCACAGTCTAAACGTCGAACTTCTTACCATGATATACGAAGTCCTTCATGATCCCCCTCTCCCCAGTACATTTCAGCCTTGTATGCTACTTACTCCATACATATCCTCATTCCAGCAATAGCAAGCTACCATGCTACTCTAGACCTTCATGCCTTTGCCTAGGCCTTGTCCTCTTCTCTGCCTGGTCTGCCCGGAAAACTCTTATTATTCATCCAGAATCAGCTCGAGCATTTCCTTCTCTAAAGTCTTTCTTCCAGATGTTCTGCCCTGCACAGCTGTTACCATTGACGCACACGTCTGTTGTAATCTCAGCTTACTCAGTGGCACTTTGTTCTATCTCATCTGATTGTGTGAACACTTTTCAGGAAAAAATCCTAAAATTGTAAGTGCTGAAAATTGTGTTTCACTGTGTTATATACAGGGGACATAAGATGAATAAGATAGGACTCATAAGGAGTTCACAGTCTTAGAGGGGACCTGGTCATAGAAACAGTGACAGTACCTTGTGATAAATACACTAGTGGAGATACAGAGAGACAAAGGAAGCACAGAGGTAGCAATGAGGAAAAGAAACAGGATCTTAATTTATTTTGTACGCCCATCCTGTGGCTGAGTATATGATGCTTTATTGGCTCCCAATAAATAAGTATTAAAGCAGTAAATAAATAACTTGGCTATTTGAGTACTTGTAATATTTACCATGTACCTCCTAAGTGACAGACTTTGTGCTAGTACTGGATATGTAAGGATGGAAAAGACGTGGTCCTTTCCCTGTGCACATTGACATTCCTGTGGTTGAGATGTTTAAACTAGAGAATGACAGCAGCAGTGAGACTGTGCTACAGCAGGGTCAACAGTGGCGCTAGACCCATGATGCTCTACATCCCTTGCTGACTTTTCAACAGTCTTTGACAGAGATGACTATTCTTTTTCTCTTCAAGTGCTCTTTTCCCCAGAGCTCATGGAAACACACTCTGCACATTTTCCTCAAGTTCATTCTTTTTCAGTCTCTTGTTCCAGGAAAACCGTCCATAGACAGTCATGGTGATTCCCATGGCGTCTATTGCCAAATGTTTGCCAAAGAATATCCAGTTTATATTTCCAGTGCAGACCTCTTATCTGAGCTTCATGCTAGTTGATATATACAGGTACCTAACTTGACATTTTTACTCAACTGTTCCTTAGGCTCCATAAATACAACGTTTCCAACTGCATACATGAGCTTCCCCAGCCGCCGCTGTTCTCTCTAGTGATGCGCAGCGCCGCCTTTACGTAACGGCGCAGGCAGAAACCTAATTCATTCTCCACACTGCTCCCTCTGTCCTTCTGACTGCCACTTCGTCACCAAGTCCATTCAAGAGTGCCTCACATATATTTATGAAATCTGTTTCCTTCTCCACTGTTACCATCCTAAATTCAGAATGCTACAGCCATGCACCTGGACTATAAGGGGAGAAGTTAAAGGGACTTACCTTACTATAGCTATATTTATATACATTGTCAACTGCACAGTCATATAATATCCTAGTACATTTCCTTTCTTATGTAGATTTTTATTTTTCCTGTGGTTCCTAATTGCCTTTTTTTTCTTATACTGTTTGCCTTTATCATATCCACATTAGAAAAAAAAACCCCAATTATCTACATTTTCTATATCCTCCTTGGACCCAGGACTCTCTAAGTATCTTCTGATCTGTTGCCCGGTCTAGAGTAGTTTCTCCTTAGGTCTCTTACATAACTATTTTCCAGAGACTCCTGCTACTGCTTTCCTGGTGGCATCCATGGTTTCCAGGATTCCCTGTTTTCTACTTTTTTGATCTACTTCTTCATTTAGTCAAAGCATGTCTTTTGCAACTTCGTAAGAAAGAATGTATGGGAGATAAATTTTATGAACCATTGCATGTCTGAGAATTACTTTATTTTACACTCATACCTAATGGATAATTGGCCGGATAAAGTTGAAAATTTCTCTCAATCCTTTGAAGATTATTTAGTCCTTGCATTTAGTATTGCTTCTGAGAAGTACATGTCTATCTGATTCTTGTTCCTTTGTAGATTATATGTTTTTATTTAATTGAATTTCATCTTTATGGTCTTCTCTTTGACTCTAAAATTCTACAATAATGTGTTCAGATGTGGATTTTTGTTTTTTCATCCACTGCCAGGGACTCAGTAGACCCTTTTGGTCTGTAGATTTGTGCCTTTCAGCTCTGAGGAATTCAGTTGTGTTTTTTCTTTCACAGTTTCCTTCTTTCTGTTTTTAGTTCCCTCTTTCTGAAGCTCCTATTGGCCACATATTTCCTAGGGTTCGACCTCTAAATCTCTTACTTTTTCTTTCCAAATATTTGTCTACTTTTTCTGACTTTGGAGGGCATTTCTTTTCTTTTCTTTTTTTTTCTTTTTTGAGACAGAGTCTCACTTTGTTGCCCAGGTTAGAGTGAGTGCTGTGACATCAGCTTAGCTCACAGCAACCTCAAACTCCTGGGCTCAAGCGATCCTCCTGCCTCAGCCTCCCGAGTAGCTGGGACTACAGGCATGCGTCACCATGCCCGGCTAATTTTTTGTGTATATATATTTTAGTTAATTAATGTCTTTCTATTTTTAGTAGAGATGGGGTCTCACTCAGGCTGGTTTCGAACTCCTGACCTCCAGCAATCCACCCGCCTCGGCCTCCCAGAGTGCTAGGATTACAGGCGTGAGCCACCACGCCCAGCCTGGAGGGCATTTCTTGACTTGTAACATTTGTATTGAATTAAACTTTTTAGTTTGCAACCATATTTTTAATTTCTAAGACTTTTTCTCCCCCGATAATTTCTTTGGCATAGCACCCTGTTCTTGCTGTATGGTAATAATGTCTCTTGAATTTCTTTGCAAATACAAGTTTTTGGAAGTGTTCTTCCAATCCTTGTATTATATGTCATTGTTTCCTCTGAATCTTTTTTTCAGGGTGTTTCCTTGTTTATTTACTGTTGGCCTGTTTATTGTTTTAGAATCTTCCTTCAGGTGTTCAGTGGTTCTTGCTTTACTGTTCATATTCAAGGATCAGGTCATAACAAAGCTGATGGCAATTCTGTTCTTGGGCAGAGCTTGATGGCTTTGCTTTAGGATGATTAGGTAGGGCATCAGTTATTATGCTGGGGTATCCTTCACCACCTGATGTTAGAAATTTTTGTGAATTTCTCTGTAGTAGAACACCTTGATTTTGGGATTGGTGGTGTCTGCTGCCAGGTATATTAAGTGGTGGGAAGCAGGGGTTGACTTTTATGTGTACAGAATTTCAACCAGTTCTCCTGTTTTCAGGAACAAAACTTATTCCCATCTCTATGTTGAGCTGGAAATCAGATTTATTTTAGAAGCAATGTTTTGGTTGTAGAGTATGGATTAAAAGGGGCCAAGCTTGAGACAGGGAGAATAGTTAAGGTGTTCCAGTATTCTAGATGAGAAATGATTTGATTGGTCTCAGAAATAAATTGGCAAGGGAAGGAAGTCCCTATAAAAAGAAATTAATAATATATAGTCTTTTGGAAATTATTTGTTATAAGGAAATGTGCTCCTCTAATTTCCATGGCTTTTTTTCCCCAGAGCAATGAATTGCATGAGAAACAAAAGTTTTACTTAAGGCAATCAGTCATTGATTTGCAAACAAAACTTCAAGAGATGCAAATGGAGAGAGATGCGATGGCTGACATCAGGTTGGGATTTGTTCTGTGATGTTGTTTTTCAAAGTTTACTCTTTGTGGTAGAATTTCTTTTGTAAATATGAGTTTTCTCAATATTATTTCTTGCCTTTCATTTATTTTGTAGACGAAGAGAGAGTCAGTCCCAGGAGGATCTAAGAAATCAGCTTCAAAATACAGTTCATGAACTTGAAGTTGCCAGATGCCTGAAGGAGGACATGCTGAAAGACAGCAACACACAGATAGAGCAGCTGCGAAAAATGATGCTTGGTCACGAGGGAGTGCTGCATGAAATCCGATCGATCCTAGTTGACTTTGAAGAAGGCTCAGGCAAGAAAATATATGAACACGACAGCATATCCACCATGCACTTCCGCAACTTGGCCTCAGCTATTAGTAAAATCCTGAGAGAATTAGACACAGAGATCTCTTATCTTAAAGGGAGGATATTTCCAGTAAGTGGTGAGAACACTATTTCAATTTTACATTAAAATACATTAAATGGATACACCAACTTACCCTGATTTGATTAATTCACATTGTATGCCTATATCAAAATATTACATATGCCCTATAAAGATATACAACTGCTCTGTACCCATAAGAATTTTTTAAAATGCATTAAGAGAAAAGTATTAGGCATATAACTATAAAAATTCTTAAAAGTAAGCCAAGTTCTCATATTTCTTCTCTGAAATAATAGAAGTTACTTCCACAGTGATCTCTCATAATAGAAACTGCTTGATTTACCTGTGTAGCTTCATGAGAGTATAGCCAAGTAAAAGAGCTAATAAAATACAGTGATAGAATGTATCTGATTTTAGTATTATTTCTGTTTGGATTTTTCTGAAACATTCCTTTAGTTGAAAATTATTAATTGTTTAAGCTTTTTATTTATCAATACCTAATCAATGTCTTTTATAAAAAACCAGGTAGAGGATCAGCTTGAAGCACTGAAATCTGAGTCACAGAACAAAATAGAACTACTTCTTCAACAGCATCAAGGCAGGTAGGTTTCTGACCCTGAGATACAGAAAATCACAGCGAAACTAAATCACACTTTTACTGTCTTTCATCTGCAATTCCAAAATCTAAAAAGCTCTGAAACACAAAACTTCTTTTCCGTAGGTTTGTGGCATATTAAAATTTTTTTCCTTGCATTTAAAGCTGTGTGGAAGACTTTATTGAAGTCCATTGTAACAGGGGTATTGCTATCAGGGAGAGGGATTGAGTCAATTCCCAATACAATGAGGACAAATGGGGATTTATAGCCAAGAAACAGGGTGAGGGCATCAGTGTATGGAAAATTATTAAGAGGAGGCATCAAAGATGGGGGATTCTTGCTAAAGGCAGGCTAAGGACTCAGATATCAAAGATGGAGATGAGGAACTTGGTCAGATATCAAGGGTTGATCAGGTGTCACAGGTGGGAGAACTAAACTGGCTTGGCTGAATTCTTGCTAAAACTAGGCTAGGCAGGCCAAAGGTTGAGGTCTCAGAGGAACCTGATTCAAGTTTGTTACTAACCTCTTGGCAAAACCTGATCTGAGCTAACATAAAGCTTTTTATAGTCTTTATGATTTAATGTGAATATTTACACACTTATTGTTCTATTCATAATATGTTTGGTTTATAGGCTACTTCCCTGTATCTCACTGGGAATATCATATAATATATAGTACTTGCAATGTATTGCTAATGTAAAATCAAAAAAATTCTAAGTTCCAAAACCTAATTGTCTTCCAAAGGATTGGGATAGAAGATTCTGGACCTGTCATAGACACTTGTCATAAAAAGAGTAGTATTTACAAAGCCAAAACAAAATACTAAATTTGAGAGTGTCGAAAATCATTAACTTTTGGAATAACTCCTACTGAGGCAAATAACAATCTGTATCAAATGACAGTCACCACATTCTTTTTATAGGATCGAGCAGTTGATAAGTGAACATGAAGTTGAAATCACAGGACTTACCGAGAAAGCCAGCAGTGCTCGAAGTCAAGCCAATAGTATCCAGAGTCAGCTGGAAATCATTCAGTACGTGTGGCCTGGTGGTTTGAAAGTGGTAGTCATTTATCTTCATTTTATAGATATTACTGTAATGAATTTTCTGTTCTAAGATATTTTAGAAATTGCTTAGTAAGATTCTATAAGAAAATAAAATGTTCCCAATATTCAAATGAACAGAAAAGATTACTTAACATATAGATAATATTATCTGACCATATAAGAAGTATTATTATAAGTAGTTGGGCCTCCTGGGATTCGCTGTTTTGAATATTGTTCATATTGCAGCTGTTAGGATAAAATAAACACATGTGCTATATATATATATGTATATATATATGTACACACACATATTATTTATATAAACATATATCAATATATATGCATAGAAATGATTTTATAATTTGAGCAGGTATGTTAAAAATTTCTATGTGGACATTTTTAATCACACACAAAAGTTGAGAGAAAATAGTATAATAGTAGAAAATAGTATACACCTGTCACCCAGCTTTGACAGTTAACATTTTTTAGCACCCTGGGAGGCTGAGGCAGGTGGATCGTCCAAGGTCAGGATCATCCAAGGTGGATCGTCCAAGGTCCAAAACCAGCCTGAGCAAGAGTGAGACCCCATCTCTACTAAAAATAGAAAGAAATTAATTGGCCAACTAAAAATATATACAAAAAATTAGGCGGACATGGTGGCACACGCCTGTGTTCCCAGCTACTCGTGAGATGGCGCATGCTACTCAGGAGGCAGAGGCAGGAGGATAGCTTGAGCCCAGGAGTTTGAGGTTGCTGTGAGCTAGGCTGACGCCACGGCACTCTAGCCCGGGCAACAGAGAGAGACTCTGTCTCAAAATAAATAAATAAATAACATTTTTGAACTGAAGCTTTCAAGAATCAATTTTGGAAAATAAAAGACTATTTGCCAGATAATGCCATATAAAATAACTAGTGGTGGTGTCTAAAAGCTAGAGTATTCTTCCATATCACACCTATTCTTAGTTTACTATTTTCTTTTATTCCCCTTCTGAACTCTTTTTAGAGAGCAAGCAAGAAACCAAAATTCAATGTACATGCGCCAGCTCAGTGATCTGGAATCTACTGTTTCTCAGCTACGTTCTGAATTAAGGGAAGCCAAAAGAATGTATGAAGACAAGGTGAGTTTAGGTTTTGATGCTCTGCTTCTAGAAACTATAATACACAGAATCAATTTTCTATTTTTAATAATTTATTTGAAAGTGAGGAATCAAAGTAATAATTTCAAATTATAAGCAGTTTATAAGCTGGAATAGGAGGATGCTAAATTATTTTATATGTTAAATTATAGAAAAACAATTTTAATTTCCATTGTATGCTCAAATTAATTCAGTCTTAGAAAAATATTTTTGCATAATTCAAGTAAATTTCTAAAAAATAAATTCAAAATAAGACCATATGAGAAGAATTAAATATTGCAGGACTAATGCTTCCAGCTACTTGTCGTTCTTTGGGCAACCCCTCATTATAATTACCACTGTTACTCCAGTGCTGGCCATGGGAGGGAGCTGTTTCTCCTTGGTTCAAGCGTGGAAATAAGATCTTGACCTTTATCCCCTGGGCACAGCTAAAATAAGGATGGAAAATTTAGACATGACTTTACTGTAAAGTCTAAGCAGTAAAGAGCAACATAAAACTGTATGATCTCAGTTATAGATTTGGGTCCTCTATTGCAGTGTCTTCCAAATATTTTCGATCACCAGTCACAGCAAGAAATACAGTTCATCTAATGTCCAATACACACTTGCAACTGAAGCAAGTTTCACAAAACAACATTTATCTCTATTACACGTGATGCTGGCTATTTTCTGTTCTCTTCAGATGCTGATTTGAAGCTTACTAAATTGATGTCATGATTCACAGGTGGGTTGCAGTTTGAATAACACTGCCTCCTTACTTAGCCCTTAGCCTAAATCCTTATGGTAAGGTCATTTCAACCCTTGCCACCTCCAACAACTCTGAGGGACCTTAGGCTGCTTAAAGGGAACAGAAAGACAGAAAGAAACATTTGCTCTTTTCTGCCTCTCTGAGGCCTGCTTTTTGTGTTCTAGTTTCTTTTCTCAGGACAAGCTTTTCCCTGATGATTGATAGCAGGAATGTCCACTCCAGTCTAGACAGACCAAGCCTGCACAAAAGGTCATGACCTCACCCTGCAAACAACAGCAGGATGGTTATGATATCAGTACATCATGGGGTGGCCGGATGCTTTACTACTTGGGTCTGGTGGAGGTAGGCTCATTGGCAGAAGGGAGAGCTGACAGTCTGACAGTGAGAGAGGAAATAGCAAAGCTGTTGTATTATAGTCCAATGCAATAACTGATATTCATGAATAATTGTTCAAATCATTTTGAAAAGATTAAATATTCATTGTTTATCGACAAATTAAACCCTTTGAAAAGCCACAAAGTACTAAATTAATCTCAACTCACCTGTGTTTTGTTACATCATCAGTAATTGCTGTAGCTTTCCATTATAGTGTTGTCTGGAAAAATTATCCCTTCATAAGCCTCACTCATTATTTGCTAATTTGTATTTGGTCTGTAGTAGTATCATACAGATCAACTCTAAATTTGGGCATAGTGGGAAATTTTAACAAATACCGAAATATCCTTAAAAAGAATATGAAAACAGTTTCTGAGTTTTTATAAATGTATCTTGGGCATTATAGAAGCATAAGATCTAGATGAATAACAGCAAACTTTTTGTATGAATGTTTTGGGGTCATATAGATATTAATATATAAGTGATTAGAATCATTATCTTATTTTGCTCTAATATAAACAGTTGATCACCCAGAATTTTAACAGTCTTAAATAGTAAACAATTGTTAGAAATAAGGAGGACATATCAGCTTAATTAATTTTAACCTAGGTCACTGAGATTTATAATACACATAGTGAACCTAAATAGAGTTGATGCTGAGCCAATGGTTAACTGGGCTCTTTTAGTAAGTGCTTTTAGTTTAGTCAGGGAACACTGAGAGATGACTGTCCTCCCGTGTTAATATAGATAAAGTATAGTCTGGCCTAAAATGACACAACTAATATGTGATATAACTGAACAAGGGAGATCAAGCAGGTTAACAAAAAGGATTTCATTTGGGAATCATGAAAAATTGTATTGATATTAAATGTTTTTGTAATAAATTGAATATAGAATCTAAAAAAAACTACAAATTTTTCCGCTTAATTTCTTTCACTTTCACATATTTTGACTTTACATTACTAAAGCCTATTAAAACCTTCAAATTTTTCTTTTTCCTCTGCTTCAGTGCACATTTTAGCACATACTGTCAAAATAAAAATATAGACAAAAAATTTCAAAGATGAGTGCCCAAAAAAAAAATATATAGACAAAAATCAAAACAATACATAAAGCTATGATTAAAAGTGAGATTTGCGTGAAAAGAAACTTATAAGGGTGTGTATGTTTTATGAGGGCAATACTAGTATTTTCTCCTGAGGTAAGATTCCTTGTAAGAAAAGTGTTTATTATTTTAAAAAATTGATGACATGACAGGTCTGCACAAAACTTTGATGACTAGAATGCATAAATTAAAAGAAAATTTGTTTAGGAGGGTAATGTTTCTCTTTAGATTAACAAGAGTATTTTCATTTTGGTGAAAATAAAAATTGTGTTTCAAAGAAAATTTTAGATGTAGCTTTAGTGGCTTACAAAAATGTTTTACTGCAATGTTTTCTATTCTTTTTTTCCATTTTAGGAGAACCTCCAGAATTCCCCTTTATGAATTTGGACCAGTAGAAGCTGTCACTATTGGCTCTGTAGATTTGGCTTTACTCTTAACTTTCGCTTTTTGACAACAAAATATCTCATGATCTTATTATAAGTTTATTTTTCCTACTTTTAAAGCAATTAGGGCCGAATTTCATACTCAAAACGTAACGATTTGGTAGCACTGGCTGGAGCTATGTGCTGTGAAGGAAGGTTCTGTGCCAACCTCTTCGCATAGCTCTGCCAATGCGCCTCCACGCTGACCTGCAGCGTCCCTTGTTATCCTGTGTCTGTGTCTTGTTAAGCACAGAAGCAAAAAGAATGCCACCAAAAAAACAAAAAAAGGCATATGATTTGATATGATTTGCAATTTCCCTAAAATCAATGTGAGATTAGATTGAGATCCATCACTCGTTTGTCCAGTGATCCAGAAGCTGGATTCATAGATGGTGAAAGGGAAAACCAGTGCTGCTATCTACAAAGAAAAGAAAAAGAAAACACCTTTAATACATCTCAGATGTCAGTATTTATTCCGGGCATTTTAAAAGGCTTTTCTTTATAGTGTTTTTTACAGCTGCTTGTATCAGCTCAGCTGCTACTTCAGTGGTTTTCCCTTTCACTCTCCATTCGTCTTTCTGACTGAATAATTAATATAAATATTTTTACTCTAAAAAGTGAAAGGTAAAAGCAAAGCTATAGCAGCTGAGTCAGTACTGACAACTACAAACAAATGTCCCTGCAGGGGTCTGGAGGGACTTCCGAGATTCAATAAACAGATGGAAAGATAAGACTTAGCTCTGTTTTTTTCTTTTTTTAATTTTGGTCTCATTTTACCATCTAGTTTGATGTTATGGAATGATCATTCAGAATTTTTTTAAAGTAAAAATATACATACAATAGCAATTCTTAATTTAAGATTTTAAAACACAAATACAAATACTTTCTTTGCTCAAGGATAGAAATGGTTTATGCCAGGCTCGGAGTAGAAAATATTTGTTTTAATCATATGATTAACTCAAATTGAAAGTGTTCTTCTTAAATTTATAGCTCAAAAGACAGGTGAAAAATACAGGATTCTAGCTTTCTCAGTGCTGCTTGTTCTTCCTTCAAAAACAGTGTTAGAAACAGAATAGAAAAGGAACATGAGAGATGATATAGAATACTCGTTTTAAACTATGCCTGAAAATAATTGATACTCAGGTTATATGCCAGAAGCTGGACCGGAGCCTCAGGCGTTTGGCTCTTCGCCACATCCTACTGCCTCTCCGATCCCGTTCTCCCATCTCTCGCCAGGCAAATGTGATAAACATGTAACAGTAAAAGGCTGTGGTTCTTCCCCTAAGTATTCTTAATGGCTTTACCAAGTGTGTGCTGACTTAGCCCTTCCTGATAATAATAAAAATGGAGAGATTATATCAACTGATATTTTTAATTCATTTTTCTTAGGAAGTTACTTGTGCTACAGAGGTTGATTTTTCCCTTTTTTTTTTTTCATTAAGAGACAAGGTTTGGCTCTTTTATCCAGGCTGGAATGCAGTTAGCATGATAATAGCTCACTGAAGCCTTGAACTCCCACCCCAGTGATCCTCCCACCCCAACTTCCCAAGTAGCTGGGACTATAGGTGTACACCACCATGCCCAGCTAATTTTTAATATTTTTTTAAATAGATACAGGTTCTCACTATATTGTCCAGGCTGGTCCAGAGATTGAATCTTTATGGGGCATTTTTTCTATATGTGCTCCCAAAGGAGCACAAAAGTGAAAGTACTTCTTTATAAGATCATCAGAGTCTAGGAACACATTCCAATCTGTACCTAATATTTTATGTGTACCTAGTAGTTAATTCTTATGCAATACTTTTATGTAGAACATATAATCAAATACAAAGTCAGTTAAAAATATAGCCAATATAAATATTAAAATCTATATTCTGATCATTGTAGGCTGTAATACTACATTATAGTATCTAAATGTGAAACTTATAGTCCTATATTAGTGCTTTCTTGTCATATATGTATGTGTAGATATATATAGCTTCTATGTATTCATGCTTATTTATTAAAGAGATAGATGCATATATTGTATATACATATGTATATAATAGTATTATTGAATTTGTGTTGAATTAATAAATGAAGATCTTAATTGAACCCATTCCAAGTAAAAATAAACTAGAAAGTCATCAAGAAAAAGTTAGTCTTAGTTCATATGTTCTCTAATTAAGAAAGTTTGATCACAGTATATCATCCAAACCAAGTTTTATTCTTGACATAGTAGATTTGGAAGTCTTAGAAGTAAGAAGGAATATGTAGCATTTATACAGATATGAAAAATTTCTTATTACTGGAAAGTGGATGACAATATGGTAGACATCACAGTTAAAGATCAGGAATCACTCTATAGATCAACATTGTCTTGTTAGTAGTGACAACAAAATTACCACAATAGCTAATAACTTATTATTTCCATTCTTTTATATCCAATGTGTTTTATTAAAACTTTGATATTCTGAAACAAAATACCTCTTCTAAGTACAGTACAGGTCATTTCTGTAGGCTCTGCAGCATGTGATTTTTGCCACATCAAGCTTCCTTAAATGCCAGATTACAGAACATATCTTCACAGAAGATAAATCTTGAGTAGAGAAATAAGAGAGAGATGTATTGCAGACAGTGCCCAAACGCAACAGTACCAAATATTTCATTTTGGCTAATTTCCTTGATTATTCAACATAGATTTACAAAACACATTAGAGTACCAACTTTTATTTTTCTCCCCAAAATAATTACCACTTGTTTTCCAAAGACTATATTTATTTTATATCACCCACTGACTTAGTCAAACTCTGTTCACTTTGTACTTTTAGATAGAAGAGCTGGAAAAGCAGTTGGTCCTCTCCAACTCGGAGCTAACTGAAGCACGGACGGAACGTGACCAGTTCAGTCAGGAATCTGGAAATTTGGATGATCAGCTTCAAAAATTGTTGGTAAGATTATGCTCTAAATTATGAATGAAATTAGTTCTGGGAAATTTTTCCACCAAAATATTTCACAGAACTGTTTCCTTTATAAAATTACAAATTCACAAAATATTTGTACATACGCACGATAGAGTATCCTAGACACTATTCAGGTTTGCAAATAAAATATAATCTGTGTATCTTTTTTTCTTAAGCAGAGCTGTTATGGTGTTAGGTGAAGGATATTGTCAAACAGCCACAGTCTTTCAATTAGGTACTGTATTCTACTAAACTGAAGTCATGTTACGTGTTTATTTTACAGCCAAATAACTTTCAAGACACTTGACAAATTATATGTGTAAAATTTTGAATGGAAGTTTAAGTGAAATTTTTAAAAAAGAAAAAGACAGTAGCATTGTGGTAACAGTGAATCAGCCTCTGTCCTCTGTTAGAAGAACTATAGGCTAAGAAGTTCAAGAAACTTTGGGTACCCCTTTGTGTGATATTAGTGGTGCAGTAGAATAAATCTGCCTACCAGACCGTTCCAAAGCGTGGTGCTGTCCCCTGCTGTAGCCACTCTCGGCAGGCGGGCGAGGCTTGTTGAGCTGGGATAAAGGGAGGACCGACAGCTGTGTAGAGAAGCTCTTAACCTTGGCATGATTCTTCACTTCTTCCCCTAGCCATGTGTGCGTTTCTAAGTGTTCTCATATTTAATTTGAGAAGCTTAGCATATGTCTGAAAGATCCTCAAACCTGTCCTTTCTTTTCATTCTTTTCATTTACCACTAACCTCATTCCAGCCCCTCATTACCCCTCACCTGGAGGATGGCAGTCTCCTTACTAGTGTTCCTAGCTCCAGTTTCTGCCCTCTTCTCTCCTTCCTCTGCCATGTTCACCTTGCTAAAATATAGCTGTGGTCGTGCCCTCTTAATTCCTTTCACAAATTACTTTCTCCATAAAGTCAGTCTCCCGCCAGTTCAAGACTGTCATGATCCAGCCTCTGCTTACCTTTCCGATCCCTTCTCTCTACATAGACGCAGTGCCCCAAGCAAAGCACACATGCCCCTTTCCCATCCCTCCTCCCTAATCTCCGCTCGCCAAGCTGTTCTCACTAATGAAAAATCACTTCCAGTTATTTATGTCTGTGTCTTAACTTTGCTTGAGTGGTAAATCATTTAAAGGTCAGTATATCTTTGTTTCTCCTACTCTGCAGAGTTTTTGCTCATATAAACACTATGTAAAATAGGGTGGTGATTCTAATCACAGCCCACGTGCTACTCTAGTCCCAGGACCTGCCACTATTTTGCCGTTTCTGAAGCAGTATACCAATTTACTATCATTATTTCTTTAAGCTTTTAAGCATTTCTTTATCATAGGAGCACACCTGACATGAAGTATAATGTCTTTGTCAGAAAATTCCAAGACTTAAAAACAGGATGATTGTTAAAATTGACCATATTTTTCTTTCCATTTTATATTGTTTGAGATCTAGTCCCTTCAGACTGATTTGTAACGCTAAATTTTTTTTTTTTTTTTTTTTTTTTTTGCTTTGTTGTCTGGACTTGGGAGAAATCCTCTGCAGATCTTATAACATTTGACGGAGAGTTAGGCATTGAGGTCATTTTATCTTCCGTGAGAAAAAACAGACGCGGGGCAAAGGCCTGAGTAGCTGGGACTACAGGCATGCGCCACCATGCCCGGCTAATTTTTTTTTTTCTATATATATTAGTTGGCCAATTAATTTCTTTCTATTTATAGTAGAGACGGGGTCTCGCTCTTGCTCAGGTTGGTTTCGAACTCCTGACCTCGAGCAATCCGCCCGCCTCGGCCTCCCAGAGAGCTAGGATTACAGGCGTGAGCCACCGCGCCCGGCCATGTAACGCTAAATTTTAAGTAAGCAAAATGTTAACTTATTTTTCTAGGAAACAAGCACTCTTAAATAAGCCATTGAAAAGGAATCAGATTCCAAAATCAAAGATTTCTCAAATCACATAAAAACCCCGAAGATGATATAAGAGTTTGACCTTAATTATTTAATAGCAGGAAGGAAAAAGCACCCCTCGCTTGCTTCATTCAGGCTGATCTCCACAAGCGTGAGAAGGAGCTGAGCCTGGAGAAGGAGCAGAACAAGCGCCTGTGGGACCGCGACACGGGCAACAGCATCACCATCGACCACCTGCGGCGGGAGCTGGACGACCGCAACATGGAGGTGCAGCGCCTGGAAGCCCTGCTCAAGGCCATGAAGAGCGAGTGCCAGGGCCAGATGGAGCGGCAGGTCAGAGCCGCTGCGCTGGGGCAGACCGTCTCCTTGGGGAGACGTGTTTTGTGTCTGTGGGCAGCTCTAAAGTAGAGCTCTGGACTCTGTGAGCCATTTATAAAAACCTGGTGTTTCTTGCTTGATTTTGACCACTCTGATCAAACTAAACGTATTATCTTGTTTGTACATTGGTCTAATTAGAGACCTTGGTTAATTAGCATATGTCCATCTTACACATGTTCTAAGAGTTGGAGTTCTGACAGCAAAATGATTTGAGTTAATCTAATTAGACATTATCTAATTCATGATTTCAAGCTTTCGAGTTAAGTTGGCATATCTCTTGAAGTTGCCTATGCCTATCCTCCCAAATCCATGAAATTCTTTCTTATTTAACAAACAGATGGCAGCAATTCAGGGAAAGAATGAAAGTCTAGAAAAAGTATCCTCCTTGACTGCTCAGCTTGAATCCACCAAAGAGATGCTCCGCAAAGTAGTGGAAGAGTTGACAGCCAAGAAAATGACCCTGGAGAGCTCAGAGAGGACAGTGTCAGACCTGACAGCATCCCTTCAGGAGAAAGAGAGGGCCATCGAGGCTACCAATGCGGAGATCACGAAGCTCCGCTCGCGAGTGGACTTGAAATTGCAGGAGCTGCAACACTTGAAGAACGAAGGGGACCACCTCAGAAACGTGCAGACGGAATGCGAGGCCCTCAAGCTACAGATGACAGAAAAGGACAAGGTGATCGAGATTCTGCGACAGCAGATTGAAAACATGACGCAGCTGGTGGGCCAGCATGGACGGACCGCTGGCGCTATGCAAGTGGAAAAGGCTCAGCTTGAGAAAGAGATCAACGACAGGAGGCTGGAACTGCAGGAATTTAAGGTCTGTGGAGTTTTTTGGTGGTTTAGCTTCTGAAGTATCTTTTTTCCCATGATCAAGTAGGAGCTAATGTACTGAGCAGGGGTTCTTGCTATCTGTGGGCCCTCTGAAATTGAAAGTATTTACTTCTATGTGCCTATGTGTGTTTTTGTGAGAAAGGATGCATACTTTTATCCAATTCCAATAGTAGTAGATGACCCAGAAAAGGTCCAAAATCACAGGCACAAAAGAAAAAAAAATCACAAAATCCAGATCCTCTGCAGTCTTTCCTGATCCCACAGTTTGAAGTATTTTATCCCTCTTCAGACAGACCTAAGTCTAAACCCCATCTCTTGCCATTCAGTAACTGTAAAACAGACCTTTTACTGAATATTGACCTTATATATTTGTTAAGCAAAAGAAAACAAAACGCAAACAAAATGAAACTCCCCCAAAACCCTATTGGGTAACTGTGAGGCTTAAATCAGAAAATGTATATCAAGGACCTAGCCTAGTTCTTGGCCTATATAAGATGTTTAGTAAATATTAGTTTCTTTCCTGAATTCTGTTTTCCTTCTGAACTTTACCATACTTTATTTGTACCTGTTAAAATCTGGATCACATTCTATATTGCACTCTGTGAGTGTGTGTATCTGTGTGAGTGTGTGTTTACATAGCTATGCATCTTTTGCTCTATAAAATGGCAGACTTATTCAGCCATGGTACACATCTTATTAATCTTTGTACCCTCTGCCCCATGTCTTTGTGTCTTGCACCCAGAAGGTGCTGAGTAAATATTTATCAAAATTTAAACTGACTAAATAGATTTTTAAAAACTTTTTATTTGCTAAGTTTTATATCACTGTATCCCTGACTTGGTGAGTAGTAGGAGACAAATCACATAAACTTTAGATGCCTCAGTTTTCTTATTCTAAATATAGGAACAGCAATAGATAATTGTCCATCTTATGGAAATAAATAATTTAATTCCATAAAAAATTAGAATTTTCTATTGCTTAAGCTTTTACTTGACCATGTTTAAATTTTTTTTATTTATGTAATAATATTAAAGGGGAACAAATGTTTTTGGTTACATGGATCATTTTCATAATGCTTGAGTCCTGGCTAGAGGTGTGCCTGTCACCCAAATAGTGTTCATGGTACCCATTAGGTTGATTTATTCTCTTCCTCTCCCCCCTGCCCCCAGTTACTTTCCACTGAGTTTTACTTACCTCTGTGCACACGTGCTCATTGGTTAGTTCCAATTTAATAGTGAGTACATGTGGTGTTTGTTTTTCCATTCTCAAGATGCTTAACTTAGGAGAATGATTTCCAGTTCCATCCAGATGGTTGCACAAGTTATTAATTCATCTTTTTATGACTAAGTAGTAGTACTCCATGGTGTACCTATACCACATTTTATTAATCTACTCATGAATTGATAGGCACTTGGGTTGATTCCGCATCTTAGCAATTGTGAATTGTGCTGATTCAAGTGCAGACGTCTTTTTGATAAAATGACTTATTTTCCTTTGGGTAAATACCCAGTAGTAGGATTGCTGTATTAAATGGTAAGTCTACTTTTAGTTCTTTGAGGAATCTCCGTACTGTTTTCCATAGAAGTTGTACTAATTTGTATTCCCACCAACAGTGTGTAAGTGTTCCTTTCTCTCGGCATCCATGCCAATATCTGTTTTTGGACTTCTTAACAAATGCCATTCTAACTGGGGCAAGGTGATATCTCACTGTGGTTTTAATTTACATTTCTCTGATGATTAGTGAAATGAGCATTTTTTCATATGTCTATTGGCCATTTGTCTATCCTGTTGAAAAGCTTCTCTTCATGTCTTTTGCCCACTTTTTAATAAGGTTGTTTGTTTTATTCTTGCTGATTTGCTTGAGTTCTTTATAAATTCTGGTTATTAGCCCTTTATCAGATGTGTAGCTTACAAATATTTTCTCCCATTCTGTAGGTTGTCTACTTGCTCTGTTGTTTCCTTAGTTGTGCAGAAGCTTTTTAGTTTAATAAAATCCCATTTATTAATTTTTGTTGTTGCTATGATTGCCATTGAAATCTTTTTCATAAATTCTTTGCCTAGGTAAATATCTAGAAGAGTTTTTCCTACATTTTCCTTAAGAATTCTTTCTTTTTTTAAAATTTATTTATTTATTTATTTTTTAATTTTAATTTTATTTTAGTGTATTATGGGGGTACAAGTGTTAAGGTTACCTATATTGCTCATGCCCCCCCTCCATCCTCAAGTAACAGCTTCAAGCATGTCCATCCCCCAAACATTGCACTTCTTACTCGTTGTGGTTGTATATACCCGTTCCTTCCTCCCCCTTCCCACCCTCCCGACTCTCAATAAATGTTACTCCTATGTGTCCACTTAGGTGTTGATCTGTTAATACCAATTTGCTGGTGAGTACATGTGGTGCTGGTTTTTCCATTCTTGAGATACTTCACTTAGTAGAATGGGTTCCAGCTGTAGCCAGGAATATATAAGAGGCGCTATATCACCGTTGTTTCTTAAAGCTGAGTAGTACTCCATGGTATTATACCACATTTTATTAGTCCACTCATGAATTGATGGGCACTTGGGTTGTTTCCATAGCTCTGTGATTGTGAATTGTGCTGCTATAAACATTCGAGTGCAGGTGTCTTTTTCATAAAGTAACTTTTGATCTTTTGGGTAGATGCCCAGCAGTGAATTGCTGGATCAAATGGTAGATCTACTTGTATTGCTTTGAGGTATCTCCATATTGCTTTCCACAGAGGTTGAACTAGTTTTCAGTCCTGCCAGCAGTGTAGGAGTGTTCTTCTCTCTCCACATCCATGCCAGCATTTGTTGTTTGGGGACTTTTTGATAAAGGCCATTCTCACTGGAGTTAAGTGATATCTCATTGTGGTTTTGATTTCCCTGATGATTAGAGTGTTGAACATTTTTCATATGTTTGTTGGCCATTCTTCTGTCATCTTTTGAGAAGTTTCTGTTCATGTCCTTTGCCCATTTTTTTAATAGGGTTGTTTGATTTTTTTCCTGCTGATTTTCTGAGTTCTAAATAGATTCTAGTTATCAGCCTTTATCAGATGTGTAGCTTGCAAAAATTTTCTCCTATTCTATGGGTTGTCTGTTTGCTCTCTTGACAGTTTCTTTGGCTGTGCAGAAGCTTTTTAATTTCATTCGGTCCCATTTGTTTATTTTTGTTGCTGTTGTGATTGCCTTTGGGGTCTTCTTCATAAATTCGTTGCCTGGGCCAATGTTCTTGCAGGTTAGATGTGGTTCCTAAAGGCAGCAGATACTTGGCTTGTGTTTTGTTATCCATTCGCCAGCCTATGTCTCTTGAGTGGGGAGTTCAAGCCATTCTTTTTTTTTTTTTTTTTTTGAGCAAGAGTCTCACTTTGTTGCCCAGGCTAAAGTGAGTGCCGTGGCGTCAGCCTAGGTCACAGCAACCTCAAACTCCTGGGCTCTAGCAATCCTCCTGCCTCAGCCTTCCAAGTACTGGGACTAAGGCATGCACCATGCCTGGCTAATTTTTCTATATATTAGTTGGCCATTAATTTCTTTCTATTTATAGTAGAGACGGGTCTCGCTCTTGCTCAGAGTGGTTCGAACTCCTGACCTCGAGCATCAACCCGCCTCGCGTCCAGAGTTGCTGGGATTACAGGCGTGAGCCACCCCGCCTGGCAAAGCCATTCACATTTATTGAGTAACTGATAGGTGTGGAAGATTTCTGTTCATTATGTTGGGTTGAACTTTGTTGCTTTGTTTTCTTCTTGAGCCATTGGTGGTGTCTGGGCTTGATCTTAGTCTTTGAGTATGATTTACATTTGTGAGGTGATTATTTGTGCTGATCGGTGAGGTAACACTTGTTTGGATACTTCCTGAAGCACTGTCTTCTCGTGGTGAATTCCCTCAGTCTTTGTATCTGAGAATGTCTTGATTTCTCCCTCATATACACAAACTTAGTTTTTCAGGAATTTAAAGGAATTCTAGGCTGACATTGTTCTGTTTCAGAAGAGTGAAAATGGGGGCCCAGTAAAGTTGTAAAGTTTCAGTAGAGAAGTCTGGTGTTATTCAAATTGGCTTTCCTCTCCGTATATTACTTGCTTCTTCTTGTCTACAGCCTCTCTAGAAGGGCCTGTAGTTGCTTTTGCATCTGATGACTGCATGTCCTGACGTCTTCCTGTTTGCATTGAATCTCCCAGGGGTCCTCTGAGCTTCTTGAACTTGTATATCAAGATTTTTAGCAAGGCCTGGGAAATTTTCCTTTATTATTTCTTCAAATAGCTTGTCCAACCCTTGAGTGTTGGCTTCTTCCCCTTCTGGCAACCCTATGACCCTCACATTAGGTTTCCTCACATCATCCCACATCTCTTGTAGGCTTTGCTCTTTTCTCTTGTTTCTATGCTCTATCTCTGTGACTGTTTTATTTAATTGGAAGGTGTTATCTTCAATCTCTGAGATTCTTTCTTCTGTTTGATCTACCTTGTTCTTGAGGCTTTCCACTGAATTTTGTAGTTCCCTGAATTGATTCTTCATTTCCAGGAGTTTGATTAAACTTTTCTTCATTGTATTGATTTCTTTAGTGAACTTTTGTTGCAGGTCCTGGAGGCTTTTTGTGCTTTTTTTGTGTTGGTTATTGAGTTGTTCTTGCAGGTCGTTGAGTTTTCTTATGATCCACATTCGGAATTCCTCTTCTGTCATTTTGGTTGCCTGATTTTGGTTGGTGTCCGTTTCTAAGGGGCTGGTGCTTCTCTTTGGGGGTGTGGTTTCCGTTTGGTTCTTCATGTTTCCGGAGTTCCTTGGCTGATTTCTTCCCATGTCGATCAGTTGTTGTTTCTTTCCTTTAGGTTTTCGTTTGGATATTCACACGCCTTGTTTAGTTTCTGAGCCAGTAGGTGGTGTCTGTAGGTGAGATTCGACCACTCCCTGTATAATGAGTCAGTGGGTGACGTGAAAAGGCTGTGCAGGATGTCCTCCCTGTTGGTAGGTGGCGCTTGTTTGGAGGAACAGGCTACG